GTGAGATTATTGTCATTTTTGGAGCAGTCGTAATCATGTCTACATCCAACATAGAACAAGATAGCAGTTGTTTCAAATTGAAGTATCCCACGAGAAACCCGTCCTATGCCATGCTCAAAAGCCACGCCTACTCCGTCTCAGGGATAAGAAGTGTAACTACATATTACGTGTGGCGATAATGGCTCACTGTTTGAAGGAATCTTTAGGCCTTCACGAGATTGGAGCCCCCACAAAGCCTGGTTTTTGGCCACCTCGCCTTCAACGAACTCACTTTGATGTGGAAATTCAGCCCAGGAAGGATTTATTTGGCTTGGAGGATGAAGTGAAGGCACTGACGACAGTGTAGAGTTAGAAAAGGGTTCCAGTGAGACCACTCGATCTTGCAAAGGGTTGGAAAATATACAAAAAGGACATTCATAGTGCTAAGATTGCAAAACTCGTCGCTTCACTATTGGATTAGAAGCCACATTTTCAGATTAGCAGTTGAAATAATCTAGGCAGCGGGGTTGAAGGACAGAAGTGTATGTGCAAGCGAAGAAGCTATCCCAAGTGGCCCAAATAAGGCCTGCTTCTCACAAGTGATTGGAAGCGATAGGCGAAGTCTTGAAGTCAGATAAGAATGACAACAGAGCTCAAACGAATGACATACCAACGCGGGAGGAGTCATTTGCGCTCAAGAACAGGCACTTGAGTCACCTTGCGCCCTAACGCTCCTACCTTGCACCTTTCCGTGGCGAAACTGTACAAGGTTACCCACTGCTGCTCTCTCCAGCATTCCCATGAAAAGAATTCCTGAAATGTTGAATTGCACGGGTGAATCCGCTTGGAAAAACTATCTACACAGGACGCGGAGACTTTCACACAAAGAATGGGACAGGAATCAGATTAGCTGGAATCAGCTCAGTATTTATCGGGAGTTTTTTGAACATCCCGTCAATCATTTGTCGGCCGCAATCCCATCTGGACTAGGGCCGGATCGCATAGGGCAGTTCATTTGTTGAACTACAGTCTTTTTTCAAACAAGCCTATATACGAGTGTAATAAAAGGAGTCCATAGGGGGAAGAAATCAACCGGTTCTTTTAGGATGTACCCATTTCCAGAAAGAACTGAAAAGTGATTGTATGAGGTGTACGGATGGCCGAGTGGTCTAAGGCGCCAGATTCAAGAGCATACTTACCGCGAGACAGCGGATTGGGTGTTCTGGTACTCGTATGGGTGCTTGGGCCCAAATCCCACTCCGTGAAGGATTCTGGGCGAGTGCTGCTGCGTTTTGTATACAACATATTCACTCATGAATAGTGATTTGCTCCTTTAGGAGGATTCCAATTCCATCGCTGATTGAGTTAGAAGAATTTTCACCCGACCGTCCAACTTCTCCCAGTTACTTACATATATAGTAAATAAATAAATAAATAAATAAGTAAATGACTATCCGTTCCCCGTTTTGAGCTATTCAGATCCTGTTGTTATGATGGCCAATCGTTTCAGCTCGATACGATAGGATGGTGATGATGCTCAAGTGGTCATCACGATTCGCACCTCTTTTATTAGCTCACCTGTTGCTTGCAGGTTCTCTGTGCTCTACCCGTTGTCGATCTCGATTGTCTGATATTCGCCATTTTTAATGATGGTTCAGTAGCGATTTTTGTGAATGGGAAACCCTTAAAAAAACCCGTCGGGGGGGCCGCAATATTACCTGTATTTGTGTAGAGAAGTTTGTAGGAAGTATTGGAAAGTATTAGATGAAGATTTTTTTCTAGCTACGGTGGAGCGCCTCGGTAGCTTCACATTTTCTTATGCAACACACGCAGTTGGAGTAGCGTGATAACTTCGACTTACTTTACATTTTTTTGTAGTTTATTACTGGATGATGAAGGTTTGTATAACTTTTTTTTCCTTCATGATCCCTTCTTTTGCAGTTTCCGTTTTTTTTTCCAAAGACAAGATGTCGTTCAGCTTTTTTGTGTGTGAATCGAGCCGGTCGTATTGTTTCCACTGCGCCGCTGCGAAGAGATTACTGAGTCGAACCACAATGGCCCGAAATGAAACCGCAATGTATCCTAGAGATCGCAGAGATCTTACACGCCTCAACAAGCTCTTTTTTGGTCCTTCTTTCTAGTGGTCTTGTTTTATATAAGTCTTTATTCGAGTATTGTGCTGTCGCGAACCTCTTTTCTCAATCTGAATGTGTAGAAACTTATGTGAATATCCGAAATTCATTTAAGGAAAAAACTCAAAAAGACACCGACAAGTCTCTGAAAAGTTTTTTTGCGCTGGGCAAATGTTCAAAACATTGCGACAGCGTGACAGTACATGCCAGTCAGTAGCCATTTGCGTACTTGGGGATGACGAAGTAGCTGAGTTCCTCCATGCTCCCATTGTTAAAGAGGGAGGTAGTCGCTCGAAGAAAGAGGTTCGTGCTCAAACTTTTTCTGCAACCAAATCGTTTTCATTTCCCCTGATTTAAGGTGTCTACAGTTTTGTTGCGCTACCGATTTTTGGATTGTCAGGGAATTGGCTTCGGGGGTCATTCACAGCGTTTCCCACATTGTGAAACTGGGCCGAACTTCCAAGCAGTTGGTGGAAAAGGACTGCCGCCGCGCCAAAGTCAATCCCCCAAAAGGCCCAGCATCCGAAGCGAAAAAGACTGTAAAGGCCTCTGATTTTATACCGTCGTCACCTAGCAACTATTTACCCAGCTTGTAAGAACGGCAGATTCAGATATGCAACTTTTTTTATATTTGAGGTCTTGTGGTCCTTCCCAGGCCCTGAAAATCTATGCATTTTAGGTTCCAAGTATTCGTCATGCAAAATTGCTTCGTTCAACTAGACTTTCCTCCTCTTGCCAGATCACAGAAGAGTTCGAAGTGGTCTTCGATGTAAGAGAAATGAAATTATCAAAATTTAAAAAGCATGGTCTACTCTTTGAAAGGGGAAGGAGAGGAGTTCATCAACTCGTAGTTGTGATAGCCTACTGAGCTTTCCATTTTCTAAATGATTCGACGTTTTCGTGAAGTTTTCACTCATAACTCGAATGAGAAAGAGAGTAAAGACATTGATAAGCATTCAGGATGAAAACCTCACTGTCAGGAGGAAACGGGCAAGAGAATCGTAAGTTGTCGCCCCGTCGCGAGCGGCAATGAAGGCGACGTTTTCTTAATTTACACTACCTTTTCGATTAAAGCATCCGGATTTCCATGTTAGGGAGGAATGGTAGAACATTTAATGTCCTAATTTTTGGTACAAAGCACATCAAACCGTCTGCTATCCACCAAATACCACTTAAATCGTCGACATTGGCAAGCGCGGACGTCGGCACGCGAACGCAGACGAATCGATTCTGCTGCCGACATATCCCCACCGTCAGTTTTCGGTGGGTAGCTGAGTGCCAATTTTTCAGGTTTGAGTTCGTCATCTGCTCGCACGCAATTATAGTTGCTGAAGCTTTTGTGATCGTGTTACTGGATTCTCACTTACTCAGCTACGAGGACAAGAAACACGTAAGTGCGGTTACTTCTAGATGCTGCTCGAGCAGGGTATTCTCGAAACAAAATCCTAGTTCTTCTTGACCATAAAATTTAAAAGTAATGAAATCAAATGAACCAGGCAATATTCACGGGCTGGAGTTTCTAAGTAGAGGGCTGGGACTTTTTTGAAATACCTTCGCTCACAGTATTTATGGCACGTTCCACGCTATATCACTTGGGCGGGTTCCGTCGCCACCTTTCGACCTTTCTGGCCTTTTTGATGCGTCCTTCCTTCACGGGTCAATAAAGAAGGGGCTTAGTAGCACGGAAAACACGACGGTAAGCCTGACCCTTCCACATCGTGAAAGTGGCCTGTGTCTCCAAGGAAATTACATCCATCAATATGTATATGCAAAAATGGGTCCGTTTTCTGCATTAACCCCTACCTTCATCGTTAAAGGAGTACGAAATCGATACCACGGTAGGAGCAACGGATGTGGGTTCAGTGCAAAGCAGCCACTACTATAAGCTTCAGAAAAGGAGTGGCATCTAAGAGCCAGTGAAAGGTAGCTTACGTTCCTAACTTATACCGTTAAGAGAGACAGAAAATATCTGAGCGCTTTTCTCAGTAACCTAAGCTCTGCTTTTGCAGAGAAACCTCCTGATGGCGAGAAGGTCAAGTCAGGGCTCAGAACACCGAAGCCGCCTTTAAGTTGGCCTGGAATACGAGATAGAGAAGGCAATAGCTCATCAGCTGAAACGCCTTCTGGTTGGACGGCTGCTGTCTATTCAGATCACAAGAGTTGCAGCGAGGTTGGAAGGTATGGTGCTTCGGTTCATGAAAGAGACTAAAGATGAGGCGGAGGTGGTTCAGTGGCAAGTTGCGCCGCTACGTCTACGGTTCGTCTTTTATCTAAGGCTGCTTGACAGCCGGCTGGATCAACCAAGCTCTTCGCAATCGGTAAAATGGTTCTAGGCCATTGATGTAAAATAGTGGGAGGACAAGGCACATCGTTTGTTGGGGAAACCCAACAGGGAGGGGGGTCGTATTTGGTCGCTGAGAGCGGGCAGGAAAAATTTATTTTGATTAGTTGATTTTTTCTCAGCTTCGTGACGTTGTAGGACGGGAAGTCATAACTAGCCCACTGTACTGAAGGAGCGGCGTCCATAATTTACTTAATCTTCCTAGAGTAGTGGTTGACCTTTCGTGTTACTGTTTCACCTGGGAGATGAGGAGAGAACAAGAGAAATCGGAGGGGGGGGGTCGTAGCAAACCGGCCCCTCCCCCCGCAAAAAAAAAAGAGGCGCACGTACTCGACCAAAATTCCACGCCATTGATGTGCCCTGTGAGAGGCATAAAAACGACAAAGATCACTAATTTAGGAATCCAAGCAAGGATTTTTCATTTTGCCGTGTTTTCTAAAAGCTGCTGAATTTTCACGTTTTGCTAGTTTCACATGTGTTATATACCACAGAACCCCTTTCCGCCAGGGCACATCGTTGTAGGGAATTCCCCAACAGGGTAAGTGGAATCTGAAAAAATTTTTTTGATAGTTGATTCTTCTGGTCTCGGGGACGCTATAAAGTGAGTCGTATTTCTTGCTGTTAGAAAAGAGGGGCTGTATTATCTGGCTTCTGGCTTTCTGAAACGGAGTGTTGACTTTTCGTGGTTTTTCCTAAATATGGTAAAAATAGCAACGTTTTCGGGAAATTCAGGTCGGAAAAGTGTGATAGGGAAAATCTACCGGAATTCCCAAGAAACGTAGAGAGGGTTCGTATTTCACATGGCCGGTTTTTCTGAATATGGAAAATATAAAGTGAACGGGGGGGCAGGGTTGTTGCGACCCCTATAAGGGGGGAGGTCGTTACGGATCGACCAGCCCCCAACCAATGACGTCCCTGTTCCCGCTTTCCACTTCGCTGCCGGCCGTAAAAGCTTAAAGATTTTTTTGTTTGGGACAGAAAAGCCGGAAAAGTGGAAAGGAAGTGGTGGAAATTTGTAGGAAGGTGAGTAGGATGAAGGATTGGGATAACTGGTGGATTGTAGACCAAACGAGGAAATTTCGGGAGGTCCTGTTTAGCCAATTTTCTCCCACACAAAGGAGCTTTGATCCGAAGCGTGCGCTGGTCGTCCCGCGAATCATTTCGTAGACGAAATGGCCTTTCAGAGCCGTTAGCAGGGGCTGCTTCCCAGAGACTGGACCTCGACAGAACCGAACCGCGAAAGAAGTATTCTCTGAACCCCGAATGTTGGAATGGATCGCGGGGCGGTGTCCGTCCTACGTATTCCGCGGTTTCGTGAACAGCCGTGGGTGCTATATAACTGTCACTGGATAGTTTCAATTACATAACAGATCACTCTTCGTAATTAACCTTTTATCAAACAATATATACAAATTCCTGGATGGCGAAGCCAACCAGAGCACAAAAATGAGCCAGAATCTACGCGAGTAGATCCTGACACTCAACCAAGCAAAGGGAAAGGGTATTATCCACAATTCTCCTGCCATCTAGGATGTTGGACAACGCTTTACACCAAAGGCGTCCAACCATCCTCTTCCTTTGTTAGACCAAAAGGGAACGACCACTGCGCTAAACTACGCCTAGGCCAACGTGCATCTGTAGCCGTATCGTACGCACTACTGCACCACTACTTTCCACACAGGGAAAGGTCCGCTCTTCAACGGGTGAAGAGAATGAAGTTCGCATCGTCGCGACACTTCCCTTGAGCCAGGGGGAGCCCTCTACCACGTAGAGTCCATCTCCAAGTCGTCCGCGACGACGTTGGGAAACTCCCCTCCCGATTCCGGGAGAGACCGATCTGCTCACCTTCCGTGAGCTCGGCAAAACTCCAGACTGACTGATCAGCTCGATCAGCCAACGGATCGACAGTAGATGGGGGCGTGGCCACAGTGTATGGTCTCGTGAGAGAACCACAAGTACCTAAGGATACACCTAGGGATATCACCAGATGCATCCACTTTTACGACCTGTCCTTAGGTACTTACATCATTGCCACGGCCCCATCTCAATCCGAGATGTTACACATAAGTTATCCGAACTTAAAAGATTGGAAACTGAGTTCCAATTACCCATATACAACACGAATGAGTTATTTTATCTTCGAAATTTAACGCCTGGCAAGTTCTGTAGTACGATTGCTGTAATTTTTTTTTCAGATTGATTCTACTGCGAGGTGGTAATGCAGTTGATGCGGCTATTTCAACAATCTTCTGTCTATCAGCCGCTCTACCTCATAGAGGAGGACTCGGTGGTGGATTTATGGCTACAATCTACAGTGACTCATCCTGTACTACCTTAAACTCTAGGTGGCCCTGGCTGTTTTCCCAGTCCTCACGGGTTAGTCACAACCTCGTCCATCCTCTTCACATATCAATGAAAAATATCCTTAAAGTCAATCTCCTACTTATTCCTAAGTGTCCAGGGTGGTGCCGGCGGTACATAATAGAGAGGCCATGCAGAACTGCCATTTGTTAGGGTAGCAGCGCGGTCGTTACTTACTGTGAGAGGGAGGACTGCATTTAATCTTGCGCGTATCGTTCCATGGGACTCGAATATTGGTGCCAGGGATGATCAGCTCATGACGCATGAGCGGACGACTTGAGCAAGTGTAAGATCTAACAACTATTTGCAGAGAGAAACTCGTCCGTCCAGCAGCCTCGGAAGACATAATTTTCTGATCGCCCGCATAACGGTTGTAGGTAAATATTTTTTCAATAGCTGTATCAATGTATTTTCATTTATGTAGCGATTTTAGTCTTTATTTGCAGGACCGAAAGCAGTCGCCGTTCCTGGATTTCTCAGCGGACTCTATAGAGCTTTTGAGGGTTTTGCGTCAAAGCGCCTGACATGGCGACAGTTTGCTGCACGCCCCACTATTGACTGTGTGTCGGGAATCAGCGTGTCTGAAGAATTTGTCAAAAGAACCTCCAAACGGTTTTTTCGTTCGATAAAGAATTATGATGCACGATCCATCATGAGGTATCTCTCCTGATTAGAGTTTTTCTAAGTGTGTATTTCTGAGCTCAAGAAGTAGCGTATTTTGAGAACTCCATCTTTTGAACAGCTTCACCGCCTCGTCGTGGAGGCGGTGCCGAGTCTAGGAAATGTAGTATATCCAAGTGCCTCTGCCATAAGGCCAGGGTGAGATGTGCACCTAAGATCTGGGATCACTGGGATCTCTCATTAAAGACACTTACCGCGATAAAGTGGTCTGCAAAAGAAGTTTCGTGCTGTTTGGAACCCTCTACGCCTTGACGAAGATGATAGCACTTTCATCCCTCAATATGGCGCGATGAGGAAGTTATAGCGATTTCCACAAGGCTCGCTAGGCTCGCTGAGACGGTAGGTGGACGAGGCGTCCGGTCCCGAGCTGCTTCCGTCCCTTTAACGCCCGCGCGGCGCGTCTCGTGCGCGGCCCTTCTGGCACTTAGCCAAAGTTGGTTTATAGCTGTTTATAGCTGGCTGAAGCGCAAATTCTTAGAAGAGCGCATACATAAGGATAAGAGAGAGGCAAGAAACTAAAGAAAGGCAGTGAAGGAGGATTGAAGAAAAAGCACGGGGAGATGAGTATCACGTACGAAAGTCTGTTTCTCCCGCTTGTTGCTTAGAGCATCCGCATCGCGCGTAGCAGGAGAGAATATAACAGAACAGCATGAATACTGAGAAGAGCTCCTCTGTTCTCCCCAGCTCCACTCTGACAGAAAAAACCCTGTAATTATCAGTGGAACACGTTTTATCGAGACATCGATGCCCGGAATTTCTCGACACACGCAAGTGATGGATTAAACGGGAGCTCTCCTCTCCGACAACCGTCGATTCAGGGGCGTAGCTGTTTCCGCAGTTTCCTATTTCCTATTCGAATTCGAAAATTATCCTATTTCGAAAGTCGGGACGCAATTGCGGCCGCCGCACCGATCCCGGCAGCCACAGCCGGCGCACTCGTCCAGGCCCCGCCCCCACTGCTAAAGGGAGGTCCGTGTTCCGGGTGTTCGCGAGGTTTTTTCCACTGGGGGGGGGTTACAAATGGGCCACTGCTTCGTTACTGGGCACCAATTACCCGAACACTTTAAATCGTCGTAGGTGCCTTTAATGCAGTTCCAGAAGAAAGGTGGGAGGGAGCTCGAAGATGAATCAGTAAGCTGGAACAGTTTTTGTGCTCGGCACGCCGTGTAGGGAAATTTCACTGGTACCTCATATAGCTGCTATCGTCGCAATCTGCACGGAACGGTGTCAGGGAGGCTGCAACAGCCCTCCCAGGATGCAGCTTTTACAATTAGGCGATCGGTTTTGGAAAGCAGCCAGTGGTGGAACCCGCGGATGGACTCACTTCAGGCTCCTGACTCCGCCGGCGACATTGGTTGCATTATGAGTGGAAAATTCAAGAAATAAGGCCAAAAGTGATCAAATTTCATCTTTCCAAGTGAAAGCTTAGGCTAACTTCATATATTTTTGCGCTCGTTGATTGATTTATTGTTGGAAGGTTGAACATTATAAGGTCTCAATTCGTCAACGAAACAACAAGAAAAGTCCTCGCCCCAATATAAGGTCTCAATTCGTCAACGAAACAACAAGAAAAGTCCTCGCCAAAGGGAAGCAAGATGTTCTGTCCGCAACTCGCTAATTTCCTCTCGGACATTTGTGACTCTGAAAACCCTGTGGAATATTTTTATCGAGGAGAAGGATCCATGAGGTTACTGAAAGCAATTAATGAAGAAGGTGAGGAAGGAGCTCTTTTAGATCAAAATGCTATGTGAATAATTGCCTAAATTGATAACAGAAGCCTTCATAAGCGCGCAGGACCTGGATGACTTCGAGACTGAACGCCAGTATGGGCTGCAGTCTCATGTGGCAGTGTGACACTTTGTGGGCCACAACCACCTTCGTTATTCACTGTTGTCCAACTAGCAGTCAAAGCTATGCAGAGTAGGTCCATTGAGAAACATTTTAATCAAAGTCCTAAAGGTAGTGGGCACAACAGCTGGAGGCGGGCGGTTGTTGCCAGCATCATTGGTGGAGCTGAAGGAGGGCGAACTGCCCAATCCTCCGGTGTGGTCAACGCCCTCTACCAATGACGCTGGCAACAACCGCCCGCCCCAGCCATCGCCTTCAAAAGCGCAGTTCACGCTGGTCGTATGGGCGAACTATGGCCTTCCACTGGCTATTCCTCAATAGCGCGCCTCTCGTTCTTACCTGACTTCACCATACGACCAACATGAGGTGTGTCATTAAGTGCTAAATGTACTGGAGGTGAGGCACCAATTCAGGCACCAATTCGACATCACTCAACATCCCATTTCTATCATGGGATCAGTCAAAATTGGTTGCGGATGCCATTTTCGACCCTGATATTGCAAAAGATGTGGCGAAAATGACTACCGGGAGAGCGCTGAAAAATCTTCTCGAGCTCACAAAAACCGGAGAGTATCCTGGATCTAAGGTGGGTTTCATATTTATGCCACAGAATTAGAAAAGGTGCACACTTCATAGTCCGAGATGGAGAGGGCGTGGCTGCGTACTCCATTTGAATGTGGCGTTGGCTGTAGGATTTTTTCGAGATATTACCGTTTTTTTTGACAGTGGTAATCATCTCTTTGCCCAGCGTAGAAGAGAATAACAGTTGTCAGACACCCAACCACGCCCTTCCCAGCTCCGAGATGTGCAGTGTAGAACTATTTTATCTGTGTCTATACGATGTGGGGTACAGTCTTCCTGGCTCACCTAATCTTTTTTCTTGTTTCCCTTGTATCTTTGTTTTACTGCCACCTTCTACGGTACTGCAACTATGCCGAGGTTTATTGAGAGCCGTACTTGGCGACTTGTAACTTTCAGTGGGAACCGACAGAAGAGGGATCGTTCTCGGTGCTTGCTGTCGACGAGCATGGACAAGCTGTTTCATTCGGATCATCTCTGGGAGACAAGTTGGTTTATCGGTCCATTGCATTGATGTACAATGTTTTCGCTAAGATTGATGGAGCGCGTCAAGTAGAGATGGATTTGGCTCGGCGCCTTTTTTTTCTTTTTTTCTTTTTTCGGCAAGCGAGAAGACTGTATCATGTCGTTTGTATCAGTCGTTTTCCACCGGATGTTGTCGCTTACCCACTTCAACAGCTGGTGGAGAACGAGCTGGCGGCGCTCCAAACCCGCCTCACTGACACGCCCCTTCATTCGCAACAAATATTACTGTAATACATACATAAGTTCGATTTCAACATTATAATCTTTGGGGTGGCTGCTCGTTATGCCCAAATCAGTAGACCTCTCCTAACCAATTCGCCCGTATTTTTTCAGTCATGCTCCTCCCTTTTTATCGTGACAGAGGGGAGACGAGACGCAGTGCTTGACCCCACCCATAAGAAAATACATAAAAATCGTGGACTCGAGGATCAACTAGAATTTCTTGACCCCCTGGGTAAAAGCGCCTGAACATGGGCAGTTGATAGCGTCACAATCAGTCGGGGCGGTCGGTTTATAGCCGCACTCTTCACTACTGGTTGTTTCCTTCCTAATTAGTCACTAAACGTGCACCAATGATAAGCCACGCATCCGGAGGCGGGCGCATTCTGCCCCTTCTAACACCTCTGCGACTGATTGCGGGCGTACGTTTTTAAAGCGCAGAGCCCGCGACCATTCGCATCACATATAGTTGGACGAGGAGTTCGGCATATAGACGGAAAAGCTGCCTTATTGCCCAAATAGAACCCCATTCCGATTAAAGTTTGTACGTCCCCAATCACCTCCATCTTCAACAACACACCCTCATCCGCACTGCTGCTTCCCCGATAAGAACTCTACGACTGTACAAGCGACAATTTTCATGCTTTTTCGTCATGCAGCTCCGTTTTTCACTGAAAGGTGCGCCTTGAGGGCGGAGTCTGGAGGCCAGAGTCACTGGAAAAAAGCAGGCGTCACTGGACCTGTATTGCCCATAACGCCCCTCCCTTACAATTTTTCGCGGCGAAACCGGTACAAGATTGTCCGTAGCGGGCCACACTACCCTCCCGACGCCATATTTCCAAGTTTTATACCTGACTCGCGGACGTGCCTTTTGACTCACCCTGTTCCTTCTGGTTAAGCAACTCACACAACATTTCAGTGGCCAGCTTACAGAACTTCCTCAGGAAGCAGTCTGTTCAGTAGGCGATCAAAATCCAGGGAAATAGATAAATTGGTCGGTTTTTTCAGCTTTTTAAGGTGAAGTCTCTTGCAGGTTTGGCTCGCGTCAGTTCACCAGTCTCGGCTTTTTCCTCAACAACGCTATGGGATCGTTTACATACGGTACACGACCGGGATCAGTGGAGTCTCGTAACGCTCCACAACCAGCGAAATGTCCTCGAACACAGATGGTCGCCAATGATTGCATCCAGGGACGGGAAAGGTTTGCGTTTAGCACAGAAGTTCCATGGCGACAACAGTGGAGGCATTTTGTACTTTCGTTGCTTCGCATCGTCTTCGAGCCATTAAAGGCAGGGGGCACGATGGCTGGGGCGAGCGGTTGCTGAAAGCGTCATTGGTGAAAGGGCTGCGAGAGGTCATTTGACCACGCCCCACCCAGCACTTCCTCCAATGACGCTGGCCGTAACCGTCCGCCCCAGCCATCGTACCCACTGTCTTTAACTCTTTACGATAGATGCCAAAGCTGTAATATTGAACTAGAACTGTACTTCCTTCGAACCTTCCTTTACAGGTGGAATTCGTTGCTGGAGGAACAAACTATCCTGAGCTGTGCAGAGTCGTTGCAGATGCTTTGCTGGATCGCAGAACGCCCGATGGTCTCAGCACCCCTTTACTGTCCAGAACTAAGGATGGCTTGGAATTGAAAAGTGGAAATCAGGCGCTGTTGTCTGGCTACTGAAGCCCATTTTTCTGCTCATCCTCAATTCTGCTCATTATCTGCTGCCTGCCACAATTTATTGTCCTGAAATGACTAAAGAAGAAATGCTGTGTTCACGTCTATGGATTATGTCATCAAGTGATGTTTTACAGATTCTAAGGCTGTTCGGCTTGGGAGGGCATTTTTTCATTTCTGCTAGCTCCTTTTGCTATTCCTGTTAAAGAATTGTCTAGTCCGGTTAGACCCGCAGACTCTTGTCAAGTTGAACGAAGATTACTGGTCTTCTGCACAGCTTTACAGGACTTCACAGGTCCGCAAAGAAGGCATCGGCAGTGGTCGAAAAAACCAAAAAGTTGCCCCCCCCCCAAGCCAAACTGTGCTCAGAATCTCAAATCGTAATCTTATCTTGATGTCCTCTTCAACGCTGCCCCATTCTTGGGTGCTTGATTTTTATAGGAAGCAGAAAGTTCATAACATTATTTGCACGGTCTTTCCATTCATAAGTTTTTGTTCTGTTCATACCTATCTCAACAGTGTACTAGTAATTTATTAGTAGTGAGAATCGATATAGTATATTTTATAAATAGTTTTATTATCATTTCATTCTTACCAGTTCTCCTCCAAACGGAATGACAAGGCAGTCGTCACTATAACAGTGATAACAACTTCTTTAAGAGGCACGTAGAAAGTTTGCTATGCTCTGCAAGTTTGCTTAGGTATATACCGGTTTGACCGCTCTCCAACACCAGTCCAGGCGAATAAGACAACTTCTTTATATTAACTCAGCAAATAGAAAGAACTGCAGCGAAAACCAAAATTAACTTTGTGAGGCTTAGCACACAAAAATGAGAATCGAAGGAGCAGAGGTTTCACCAAGAATAGACGAACTGGAAGCAAAAGCAGAGCCAAGCGTAGAGAGCGAGAGTCCCCCTTATATACCGCGCAGCCCAAAAGCGCATTCAAACGATCCCGCTCATCCAGTCGATCGATCTCTGCGCCATCCCCTGTCACCGATTCGGCGGCTGAATCTGAATCAACTTAGTTAGGATTAGAACTTAGGAATTTAGTTAGAAAAGAAGTTAGGATTGGAACTTTACTCGAGGCTATCACATGGCGCTCCTTTGGATTTCCAGTTACTTGGATTTTTGATGTCTAGCTTGAAAATCCGATCCCTGGAAGCCTTGATTCTCTGAACGCGGAAGACATACCCATTTAGCACGAAAATGAGAGGTTCCTTTCCCGCGGGCATCATTAAAGGCAGATGGCACGATAAATCCCTAAGACGAGTAGGATTAGTACGCCCGGCAGGACGGAATTCCCGTGCCCCTGAGCAGGCCTGCTGTAGGCGCCCTTCCAGAGAAGCTGGCATAATATTATCCTTAAAGGCGCTATCAACATACCCAGACCCGTACGGCCAACCACGCCCCGCCGCCCACAAATGACGACCAGTATCCTGGTGCTCGTATTGCTTCATTTGCTAAAGTAAAAAGATATACATGAAGCAGAGAGATTGCTGATATGAAGCGGCTGCGGTGGCTGCGATGGATATATGGTACATCGCGCAGCCGTACTCTGTTATTTGCAGATGCCTACGGGAAACTCGTCCGAAATCTGTTGTTAAGTCATTAAGAACGAAGGCTTTCCTTTGTAGGTCCTTGGCCGCTTCACTTCATTTTCCGCCATTTTCGCACTTTATAGCACCCTGCTAGCCTTTTGAAGCCGAGTACCAAATTATCGTGCCAACTGTTTTTAAGGAGAAATTTCATGAAATTGGTGGCTTTGTCCTTTTGCGAGATGCGGGTAGCAATTTTGGCTCCCATATTTGTAAAAAGCATTGCGTAGAGTATCAATACAATTAGGTCTCCGTTCAAAGTTCCATGGGAACTTGAACCGTTTCCTAGTAAGGGCTGTGAAAGGCTTACAACTGTGAGAGAAACCCGCCACGATTCTTATTAATATCAATTTCTCTTCTGTTCCCGATTCTTGATAGCTATTAGAGCTCTCTAGAGAGGTGCAATGAGACTATTCATGGCTATTCTCTGCAAGGGAACTTGTGGTTGATTAAATCAGTGAAATTATGATAAAATGATTCCCCTATATGAGGAGAAAACTCAATTACGAGCCTTTTTGTCCGTCTTTCGTTGGCATTACGAGAACAAGAAAGATAGCGCTCCAATGCAGCTTGGCCTGTTGATTTGAAGATCTCCTAGTGATGAAGCCGGTCGGTTAGGTTCATTTATAGGGATAAGGTAACAACACTCGGTAATCCATTCTTCCCACCTTCTGCAGCCCGCTTCGCTCACGATTCTCGAACTGGTTCATTTCAGAAGAAGAGAAATGCCTCCAAACGACGACGTAAGAGCTTTTTCAATGGTACCATTGATGTAGTAAGTTTCCAGAACTCTTGAATAAGTCCGATAAACGAAATAGCGCGATATTGAAAATACTGTCGGAGAGTGGTATCGACATCTGTGCACGGAAAGCATCCTGTCACGAAGAGGCTCCCGGCCTAGAGCCCTTTTCAAGCCAGTGCTGAACTCCAACAAGAACCTTTACTACTAAAAACTGAGCGGAAAGAGCTTTTCAACTCTTCCTTCTTCTCATTTTTCTTCAGAGTCCGTTATGCCACTAAATACAGTGTATTTGAAGGGTGTCTGCATGCGCCTCGTCGAATATCCGAAAGATGGCCGAGTATTCAGAAAATGGACTTATGAACGACTCGGTGAGAAGGTGGAACCAATCCGGGCTCACGTGCCAGGCTGTGTTTATCTGAAGGTTAGCCACTGTACACTGAATTTCTTCCCTTATCCTACCTTATCAAACATCTTCCATTGCCTAGAGAGGACGTAGAGCGTTACTTCCGTGTCGGGGTATCTCATACTTTCTTTGCTAGTTGACGTGAGAAGCGCAGACATTGAGGGGCGACATGTTACACCACCGTCACGTTTAGTGAATCGGGGCCCAGTGGGAATGCTACACACATCAGCCCACCTGTGACGCCTCTTCCGTCGC